CCCCCACCCCCACATGGCAGGCGCCTGACCTTCTATTTCCTTCCCTTCCTCTTTGAATGAGTCGAGGAGGCCATGCCCTCCAGGACTGTCCTGGTGCCAGGACAGCACAGGCTCTGCAGCTAGCAGACCAAGGCTGAGTCCCTCGTCAAGTGAGGGCCTCCGAGCCTCAGGCTCCTTGTCCCACAGTGAGGATGGTCACACCTGCAATTTCACAAGCTTGTTCTTTCATTTATTTATTTATTCATTGGTTGATTGCATCATTAAAACATATTTAATGAGCTTTTGTTCATTGCCTGGCACATAAGAAAAGGGCTTTGCCCTATGAAACGTTTCATCCTCTGGTGAGTGATTCTAGTTCCCAGCACTGCTCCTGTGGACACTGGGCCCCTCTGGGGGTCTCCTAACAACCCACTTTGCCAAGAGGACCTCTGGTACCACAGTGGGGCTGGGTGAAAGCCTGCAGACTCCGAGGGCTCTCTGCATGGAGACATCTACATGGTCACTGCAGACAGGGAGACAGAGGCCAGCAATGTGTAGTGACTTGCCTGGGGTCACACGGTGTGTCAGGCTTGGACTGCCCCCACTCCTCAAAGATGTCCACATCCTAATCCCCAGAACCTGTGAATATCTTACCTTTCATGGCAAAAGGAACTTTGCAGATGTCATTAAGGATCTTCAGATGGGGAGATGACTCTGGGTTATCTGGTGGGCCCGATGTCATCACAGTCTCCTTATAAGAAGGAGGCAGGAGGTTCAGAGTGAGAAAAGGGGGATATGACAATAGCAAGAGAGAGAGAGAGAGAGAGAGAGAGGTTGGAAAATGCTACGCCTGTGGCTCTGGAGCTGGAGGAAGGGGCCCCAAGTCACAGAAAGCAGGCTCCTCTAAAAGCTGGAAAAGGCATGGAGACAGATTCTCCCCTAGGGCTTCCAAAAGGAACACAGCCCTGCTGCCTCTGGCCTCCAGAACTGTAACAGGATAAATTTGTGTTGTTTTAAGCCCGTGACCTGGTGGCCGTTTGTTAGAATAGCCATAGGAAACCAGTACGGATAGCAGGGCCAGGAGGGGACGCTGGGTCTCCTGCATCTCGGCCGTGTTCTCCTCCTGGCCTGGACCCCTGTTCCTTGGCCTTCCATCCAGAGGCTCCTGGGGCTGTGAGACGGCCAGCGCTTCAGGATTAATTTTCCTCCCGTAAAGTGCTTAAGATGTTAAAAGAAATATACACAAAACAAATAATAATGGCAAAACCAAAACATCCCCATCAGTGCCTCAGTGAAAGAGCTAGAATGCTGCCCACAGTTTTGAGGCTCCCAGAGGTACTGCACCTGAACTGTGTGCTTCATTGTTTTGCACATGTTTGTGCCCATGGGTTCTTTTAATGGGAACTTCCTGTGAGCTCTGGGCACATAAGGAAGATAGAGGCCCTGCCTAAACCCCAGAGCTGCCGTAGGAAGAGGCGAAAACTCCCCTACAAACAGATGTGGGGATGACAGGCAGGCCATGGAGGGGCTCTCACCTGGAACACCCTCCAGGCTCTGTCAGCGGGGGCCTCACCGCCTGTCTGCCCCCTCGACCACCCTGCTCCCCAGCTGAATGAGGGGCTGTCTCCTGGACTTGCAGCTCTGATCTGTGGCTGCAGACTTAAAAGGTAGGTGCTGTGTAGCCTTTTGTGACTTGAAGGGAAAACAGGGTTTTCTGAGTAATAATAACATGACATTTGCATGCATTTACCCCATTGTGTGCTCTGCTTTTTCTTTAGCACTTTAGCACCTCAGACTTGACCTTTTGTCTCAGATGCTCCATTAGATGGCACCGCTGAAGTGTTCGGGTCCCTCTGGGCAAGCACCTGTTAATTACGGAACATGTTAGTTACGAGCAGGAGCTGGGAGCCATGATAAGCAGCAATAGCTATGGAGGCACCTTCCTCACTTCCTTTTTCTCTTCCCTGGAATGGAAGGTCCTCAAAAGCAGGGAGCCTGGCCTTCAGCTCTGGGTCCCCAGGATGCAGCACAGGGCTTGGCCCACAGCAGGTGCTCAGTGAATGTCTGGCAAATGATGGATGTACCTTGCAGAGCACTGCACAAAGTCAGCACCCAAGAGATGTTTGGACAAATGCATGCCTCACCTGTGCACCATACCTGGGCACCAGAACTGGGTATCACACCTGTGCTAGGCTGGGCTGAAGGGGTGGGGGCTCTGGCTGAGAGCGCCCACCTTCTGACCCCATCCGCTGGTCTGGCTTCTATACTTGATTCATCAGCTCCCAGACCTTGTCCCAGCTGAAAAACAGGCGTCCCTCGGTCTTCAGCTTTGGCCTGGACCGCTGGTCCACTGGTCACAGCGGAGCTGAGTCTGGTTCAAGGGGCGTTTTCCACAGGCCTCATCTGTGCTGGTCTCTGAGTTTGGGACCAGGACTCAGATAGGAATTCTGGGGTTGGAGGGGTTGGAGTGTAGAAGCCAGATTCAGAAGCCAGTTCTGCCACTTGGTGTGACAAGGCCTGTGACACTGAACTGGACATAGAGATTCCCTGCTCATCCTGGGAGGTCGGCTGAAACTCCCCACAGAGGGCAGGCCCCTCAGGAGTCTGGGGCTGGCACTCATCGCATAGGCCAGCGGCCTCAAATGCCTCTATGCCTGCTGCCTGCCCGTGAGGGTCTCGGACTCAGCTCCAGACTCTGAGCCAAGGCAGGGGGACCTAAGAGGGTGAACTCAGCAGGACCCAGCTTGCCAGCATGTGCCAGAACCGCCCCCCCCCTGCCCACCACTCACTCCCCGCTCCCCCGTGGGAATGGCTCTGGCTGCATAACTGCCCCACCCCTACCCTGGGGGTTATAACTTGGGGATGAAAAGGGTTCTGAGCTGAGATCTTTCACATGCAGCCAGCCCTCATCCCCCTACCCCTCCAATGCACACGCGGAGCTGCTGGCAGCTGGTCCCTTGCACTCGGCCCAAGCATCCGAGGCCAACAAGCCTGGCAGCCCTGCCAAGAATCTGTCTTCAATCACTGCTTTCCTATTTCCCAAACAGAACAAGCCTGGCCTCCACAGGAAACCCAGACCCCATTTGCTTTAGAATACCTGGCCTCCTGGGCGGCCTTTTGGACAGGAGCAGCCCCTGCAGCCCCCTCCCACCGTCAGCATCCCTGGACCCTCCATTCAACGCGAGGACTTTCCCTCCCTCACTGAGACCAGCCTGGGTGGCGTTTTGTGGATTCCTTAGGCTTTTCTGCACGGACGATCCTGTTGCTGGCACCTTGGGACTGGCTAGGACCTCGAGGACAAGTGGACTGGAAGTGGGGACAGTGGACATCCTGTCTCTGTCCCGGTCAGCCCTCCTGGGAAAGCCTTTGGCCTCTCGTTATTTCCTGTGATGTCGGCTGTAGGTTTTGTTGCTGTTTGCTTATCCAGTTGGTGAAGTTCCCTCCTATTCCTAAACTGCCAAAAATTAAAAACAGGTTTTTTTGTGTGTGTTTTTGGTTTTTTTTTTTGTCATGAGTGAATTTGGTCACACGCTTTCTCACATCTGTTGAAATCATATGATTTTTCTTTTTTATCCTTTTTTTCTGTTAACAAAGTGAATCACATTGATTGATTTTGAATATTAAACCAACCTTGCATTTCTGGAAAAAAGCCCACTGTCACAATTCATTACCTTCTGTGTGCACTGCTGGATTCAATTTGCTAAAATTGTGTTAAGAATTTCGCATATATGGTCATGAGTGATATTGTTATATCATTTTCTCTCCCCCCCCCCTTTTTTTAATAATGTCCTTGCCAACTTTTGGTATGAGGATAATCTCAGTTATTAAAACAATTTGGGATGTATGTGCTCTTTTCTCCTCTAGTTTCTGAAGGCTTTTAAAAAAGATTTTATTGGGGAATTGGGGTAGGGGGACAGTGTTGGGGAACTGGGGGAGGGGATCAGCCAAGTTGTTGTCCTTCAGTCTTAGTTGTGGAGGGTGCAGCTAGCTCAGCTCTAAGTCCAGTCACCATCTGGCTGCCCGTTGGCAGCTTGTGGCCGCTTGGCTCAAGGTGACGTGTTCAATCTTAGTTGCTGGTGGGCATAGCCCACCATCCCATGCAGGAGTCGAACCGGCAACCTTGTTGTTAGGAGCACGTGCTCTCACCAGCTGAGCCATCTTGCCACCTGTTGGCAGCTCAGCGGCAGCTCAGCTCGGATGCAGCTCACTGGCCCATGTGGGAATCGAACCGGCGACTCTGTTGCTCAGAGCTCGCACTCTTAACCAAGTGAGCCACTCAGTTGGCCAAAGGATTTTGTTTTGTTTTTTGTTTTGTTGTTGTTGTTTTTTTAAAATAAGATTGGTATTATTTTGTCCTTACATGTTTGATGTCCCTCTTTAGGACCAGAAAAAGGGGGTGTCTTAACCTGCAAACAGACCAGACGCTCAGCCCAGATATGAAGCCGCTGTGGCTCTCTGGTTAGCTTCCCTGAGTTCAGCTAACCAACACTCCCTGCACCCAGCTCTTCTGAATCGCCCCGAGTAACATATTGTTTTAATTTGTATCCAGCTCTTTTCTTGTTATTACCATAGGATGTCCTTCTACATCCTAACTCTCCCGTGAGCTTTTACATCCTGGCTGCCTCCCACCTCCCTGGTCCCTGGCTTCACTCAGTCCAGCTCAAGTTCTCGCGGAAGCCCTCCCTCATCATCTCACTCCCCTTGCCCCTCCAGCCTCACCTCTTCCAGGCAGCGGCAGTGGGTCGCCTTCAAATGAGCTCTTCACTCTCCAGCTCATAATCCATGAGTAGCTTCCATCGCCCCACGTCAAGTCCACCCTGTGACCATCCACGACAGCCTGTGTGCCTGGCGCTCGCCTCTCTCCATGCTGCTCCCCCAGGAGTTCCTGCAGGTGGCTGAGCACACGCTGTGCAGTTTCCCACCCCGGGTTTTCGGTTTTCGCTCACACTATTCCCCTGCCTGCAGGTGCTTGTTCAACTCCACGCCAGTAGCTGAAGCCGAGAGCATGGGCATCCCTTCCTCCCAGGTATACACGGTCAGTAATTACACTGTTACCTTATTCTTCTCCCAAGTAATGGGGCTACTGTTCGTTTCATATTTATGGCGTGCCTTTATGCCGCTGACTCTTGTCCTGTGGTGATGGGGTTTCGGGTGCAATTTTTAAAAAAGAATAAATGAGTGCAAAAACAGAAACAGATCGAAAAACAAGCAAAACCCCCAAATCAAACCCTAGACAAGAATCACTTCCTTAAATGAATCTTCTACTCTTGCTGATGGAAATCGCGGTCTCAAGACACTTACCTGAAATGCGAAAAATGACCTGTGAGTAACAGAGGCCCCATGAAGTCTCTTCTTTTCACTTCAGGTTTTTCATTGTCGTTTGAAACCCTCTCTCTCTGTCACAGGACATTAATGGGGTGGGGGAGGCATTATTTTGGAGTGATGCCACCTGCTGTGGTCTGTATGGTTTTGCTTTAACACCCGAGTATGAACACGTGAATTCTCATGTCTGGTGGAAGCTTTCAGATACTTTTGTGGGGAAAGGAGCATTGATGGGGTGTCAGGGGATTTGGCCAGAAGGGGCTGCCACTTGCTAGTGTGTGACCTTGGGCGAGTCATTTCTTTCTGAGACTCGGTTTATTACTTATTTTTTACAAAATGAGGATAAGAACCTCTTGCTGTGAAATTTAAAAGAGAGAATATATGAAATTGATCACCATTACGCCAACAGTTTAAAAGTACTTGTTTTATTCCTCTACGAACTGCCCCCCCCACCACCACACACACAAATGGAAATGTATTAGTCCATGTAATGAATACATTGAAAGGTAGCTTTGGGAACTGTTGGATCAGGACTTCCAAAGCTGTCATTGGGGCTTTTCTCTATGATAACCTCGTCTTCAGGCAGACCCTCCCCTAAGGGTGACAAGGGGACTGCCAGCAGCCCCAGCCTCTCAGACTAACAACCTTATTAGAAAAAGTGAGTTCCAGCAAAGATCCTGGGGGGATCTCATTGGCCTGTGGGGATCCCATATCCATTCCTGGACCACTGGCTGCGGCTGTGGAATGTACCAGGGTGACTGACCAGGCTGGGGTCCCTGGCCCATCCCCAGTGCTGGGAGATACTGTCAGCTCCCCTCTGTACCAGGAAAGGCCAGGCAGTGTGGCAGGGTCCAGGAGGAGTCAGGAGACTGACTGTGCCTATTTCTCCTCTGCCACTCCTCTGTGGCGCGGCCTGGATCACGTCACCTGCCTCTCTGGGCTGAGGTTTCCCTGACCTGGGAGGTTGGGTAAGAAAGTGGAGGCCGAGCCCTGGACGGGGACCCCGCTGAGCCACTCAGCCTTGGGTACAGGGTTAGATGGTGGGGACACCTGTGCCTCTCCCTGGCAGGCATCAGCTGGAAAATGGACTGAGATGGGAACATCCTCTAGTCACCAGCAGAAGGCAGCCAGGGTGTTTTTAAGAGGGAAATTCTGCGTGAGCGCTGGGGCCCTGACCCCGACCTGTGTGGCTCTGGGAGAGCCAGGTTTGTAGGTTCAGGGAGCTGAGGTGGATGTTAGCACCCTGCCTCCCTCTCTCCCTCCTTCCCTCACTTCTCCCTGCCCTCCCTTCCTTCCTCGTTTCCTCTCCCATTTTACCTGCATGGCCAGTTTCTAGCTGTAGACCTGCCTTGGGGCCCTTACCAGTAAAATAGGCTGATGTCACCTAGTCTGGGGATTAAACCAGGCCCAGGCTGCAGAGCCTCCGGTGCACCGCGTCTAGCGCCTGGTGGGGGCCTGCTGCACAGACCTGGGAGGACTGGGTGGGTCACAGATACACTCTGTGTGACATGTGCCAGCCTGGGGAGCAAGACAGATGAACCCTGGCCTCCCTGCTGAAGACGTGGCCCCTTTTCAACAAGGTTTTTTAGGCAACATGTTGGCTGGACAGCACTGAAGACTCTGATGGAAATCTCCGAGGAAGTGGTGTGGGTGTCACAAGCGTGGCTGAGTTTGTGGTCAGGCAGTGGGCAAGGGGAGGAGATGGTGGAAGGGTGCTGCTTGTTAAAAATACGCTGTGTCGCCACCAGCAGAGGTGGAGGCCCTGCCCCACCTGGCTGGGCCCCAGCAGCACCGCCGTGTTCCCTGCTCTGCTCACAGCTGAGCCCTGCCAGGCCAGCACCCTGGCTTCTGCTTCGACGTCACTTTGATCAGCAGAAACCAGGGACTAACTCGGGGGGCCTCACTCAGGGATGGAATTCGGGGAACTGACTGAGCTTGACTTGCTCTGGACCTTGGGCAAACCCTTTCCTTCTCTGAGCTGCCAACAGAGAGAGCTGGGCCCAGGCGTTCTGGCTTTAAAATTTTGAAATCCACGGAACCCCTTCCTCAAACTATCTTGGGTGAAAGTCCAATATATAGCAATGATATGATATGAGCATTTAAAAACTTTCTTAGCTGGTACAAAAATTTCCTTTACAAGGAGGGGAGAATGCCACAGTGAGTCAGCTGGGGCCAAGGTGAGACCCCAAAGGCAAGAAGAAGGCACAAAAATGGGTGTGGCCCCCAGCATACCTGCTGGTCCTCAGTCCTGACAGCAAAAGCATCACAGGGTGTGTGTGGGGGGTGGAGGGGGGGGGTTGAAGACATTCCTCCCACATTTCTGCGCGTGTTGTGAGCAAGGCACCACTGCTCTGTGTTCCCAACTATCTTTTCAAGGGTTTTGTACCGTGATGTGTTTGTTCCCATGAGTGCTTGGGGGGCGGGGTGGGTGGGTGTTAAAGCAACAGAAATGTATCCTCTCACAGTTCTGAAGTCCAAAATCAAGGTGTCAGCAGGGCCACACTCCTTCCAAAGGCTGTAGGGAAGGATCCCTCCTGCCTCTTCCTGCCTCTGGTGGCTGTCGGCGGTCCTCGGTTCATGGCAGCCTCCCTCCAGGCCCTGCCTCCGTCTTCACGTGGCTGTCTGTCCTCTGTGTCTGCCTGTGTCCAAACTTCCTCCTTCTTATAAGGACACCAGTCACATTGGATTAAGGACCCACTCGAGTCCAATACGACCTCATCTTAACTCGATTACATCAGCAAAGACTCTATTTCCAAGTAGGATCACATTCACAGTTTCTGGGTGGACATCACATTTTGGGGGACACAGCTCAACACAGTGTAAGTGAACAGGCTGGAATTATAGGGCTCCTTTCTCCCTCCAGAGCAAGGGTCAGGTACACCGCTATACAAGGTTCAGGCTCCCGAGTTCAGGGGTTCTCTCCTATGGCACAACGACTGTGTACCCAGGTGCCACCCCGTCCTCTTTGCGTTGCTCTTTGGGAATTGGGGCTTGGGGGACTGGTGCGTAAGAATTCCGATACTGGGCTCCTGCGGCCGCCATGACTCGTAAAGCGTCGTTTGTTTCTGATCCAGGAATCTCCTGTCTTTTGCCGGCGTTCGTGGAGCTGCAGCAGGCTCACTTGCTAGCTTGCAGGAAAGGTCTCTGCCTTCCCCAGTTCCTGGTGGGGTGGAACCTGGGGATGAGCGAATGGCTCAGCATAATACAGAGGAGGGGAGTGTGCAAATCGTGGGGTGGAAATCAAGGGAGAAAGAGAAGAGAGGCAACAAGGTGGGGACTGTGAGGAGGAGGAGGAGACGAGGATGCCCCGGGAGGCTCTGCAGAGGAGGGGTTGGGGGAGGAGGTGCTTAAGGAGGCACCCCCCTCCCCACCGTGGCTGTGTGGGCAACGCAGAGCCCCTCCTGGTTCATTACCAAGTCTCCAGTTAATCTCTCACTCTCACTTCTGCTTTGTGCAGGTAGGTGGGGCTGGGATCTGCCTCCGGGTAGGCGTGGGCGTGGGGGTAAGACCCCAAAGGCTGGAGGAGTTGGGGAAGAGCTGGCCTCTGGCTGATACCTGACATGGCTCGGAGGAGCTGTTATGCTACAAGTCAGATGGGCCCTGGAGCCCTGCGTGCTCCCTCCCTCCCTGGGACCCCCAGATCTTCAGGGAGTATGATTTGGACTCGGTGGTGTCTGTCTGACCCTGATGTTTGTGGTTCCAGCAGAAAAACTCCTGGGGGCAAGAATGGTGGCTGCTGTGGCGCCGGCCCTCACCCAAAGCCTCCCACTCACTTTCTCTGTGAGTCCACATTGCTGAGTTTGTCCCAGATCACCGGCTACTGGATGTGAAACGCCTTGATAAACATGCAATGCAGAAGACAGGAAGGTGACGCCAGGAGGGGCCATGGCTAAGTGCAGAGAGCCAGAGCTTCCCCGCGGAAGCTGCGGGTTCTAACCCTGCCTCTGTGAGCCTCAGTTACATCGTCTTTGAAATGGGGATGAAATGAGTGCCTGGCCTGTGTCCAGCACAGTGAGGGTGTGAACTGTGGGCATGCAGGAGCCTCTCACTCCTACGGTGGTTGTGGGGAGTAAGTAATTCAGGGAAAACACTTCATAGTCAAGACTTCCCTCTCCCCACCCCAGCCCCAGGACCTGAGCTCCCCGCTCCACCTGCCCCCATGCAGCAGGGGACAGGGCTGGGCAGTGTCCAGCCACCTAGAGGAGACACCTGGAGAGCACTCCTAGGAGAGGGGGAGGGGAGTGTCTGGGCACAAGGCCCTCTGCCAATCCAGGCTCCCCATGGGTCCAGGACCACGGCCCTGGGCCCTGGCAGGGGGTAGGAATTGGTGACGGGCTGTGGGCTCCCAGGGATGGGGTGACAGCACCTGAGCCTGAAGGGCTGAACGGTGTTCTCTGGGATGCCGGGAGGCCTGACCTCTCCCAGCCTCACTTTTCTCAGCTATAGAATGGGGTAACAACCTCTCCCATGTGGGCATGGA